GGACAGAGTATTAGCCATCATCACGACAGTCCTCAAGACATACCTTGCAGCAAGAATAGGCCAACAAACTCTTGAAGCAATTCAAGTTGGAACTTGAAAACTTGTGTTCGGTTGTTAATGTTATTGAGCTTTATGAACGTCAAATAAGCCTAATTGATGAAAAATTATTCTGATATGTTTTGGTTTTATGACCAGGGGTTATGACAAATATATAATAAGGATGTTGGTCTAGTTTCTCGTACGGGTTTTCAACATACGCTTTAGTCCTACACTCTAGTTTGGGGTTGGATTTTAAATAGTCACTTGAAGTACGTGTTAAAGTATCCTACGTGTTGGTCGAGTGTTGAGTGATTAAACATCTTGATCGCATGTTTATTGTTTACTGTTTAGTGTAGACCTTGTTCAGTAGAAACTCAGTACGGTGGTCCGCGGTAAATTTCATTCTTTATTGTACGAAAATGCATGACCTGCATGAGGTATGTTACCTGGGGACCCCAGGCTATAATGTTCCGCCGAATAGAGATTCGGCGGAATGACAGACTAAGCGCCGCCCAGTAAGAGGTATGATAATACTGGGTTTCGAAATCTTTTAAATATCTATTCGATTGAGTCTTATTACCTGGGGACCCCGTTTTAAATTCTCATAAACGTATCAACTGAATATATTTACTAAAACTCAAGTCTCATATTAAAGTATTAATATGACAACTGTGTTTAAGAACACAAAGCCCGGGGTCCCCGGGTAAATTTAAAGCTAGGAATCATTATATTTATAAGTGAATTGTGTATTTGGTACTGGCCATAGCACTCCCGTCAATCTATTTGTCATGTCAATAGTTTACTGTTTACGAATGAGTCCATCATGTACTGTTCTCTTTGATGTATGTAATCAAATTATTAGATTATTAAAGTTAACATTTTGTGAAATGTCAATCACTTTATTATATTTACCTCAACCTGTAGACCTCTGGCTTTTAACACAATTGATATACCATATATAATATATGGTGGAACTACATCGGTCGCGTTTTTGTGTGGAATGCTAGGCGAGTTGTTATGTGATCATATTCATTAATTAATAATAGTTATATAATCATGAAACCTTTGATCCGTCAAAGTTCGGAATTGCAATTGACCAAAGGACATGAGGAGAAACTTCATGAAGTATCACGCTACTGCACCTAGAACTTACATTTCTCTTGTTGCCACTGTCACGTACTTCTTCAAAAACGTATGAACGGTCTTCAGATATGAGATTATTACATTACAAAACATATATTTTGCGCGCTCAGCATTCCACGCGCAAAAACGCGCCCGTTTAGAGAGACTTGCGCGTATTAGAGGGTTCAGTCTCACCAGGCTATGTTAATGAACATAATAGCCTGGGGTCCTCAGGTAAAATAAAAGATGTTTTAATTTTGTCTTAAGCCTTTTTGAGTTATACTTTTGTTCATTTTACACATTTGCTCACATTACTCACAGTCAGCCGCTCTGACATGGTTAACCTCTTCCTTGTGTTGTTGGTTAATCATATGAGCGGGATATAAATACCTCATTTCATTTCATTTCATTTCATTTCATTTCATTTCATTTCATATTATACAATTATGCAAAACATTCATGGCATGGGAATTTGGAAGATTGGGAATTAAATTCGTATATTCGCACTTGTTTCTTTTTTTCGACAAAGATGTGACGAAGTTAAATTTTATTACCTGGGGACCTCAGGCTATCATGTTTATAAATAGAGATTAGGCGGAATAACAGGCTGAGCGCGGCCCAGTAAAAATTTTAATAATTTTTAAAAATTTTTATTTTAAGAACACACTTGCCCATTATTTATTTATACATTTCTTTATTGATGTATAGTCAAGACATAAGTGTTAAGGCTCTGATTGACAAATTTATGTTTAATACTGTTTAATCCTGTTTAAACAGGATTAAACAGGATTAAACATAAATTTGTCAATCATGCGCCGCGCATATTTTGTTTATATTAAGAAAATCGAGCGCTATTATAAAACATTTCACAATTTCATCCTAATATCTAGTTATCAGTGAAATTGTACTTTCTTACTGTTGCTCCTTCGGGAACCTTACCTTCCATTGATATTTATCTCAGGTTTCACTGGATGTGACCGGTACAATGTTCTCTCTTCACTAAACCCATCCCATTTGTTAAATACTCGGCTGAGTCGTGCGATGTCGTGCGAGTCTTACCACTTAATCACATGGCAAAGTCGCAATGGCTATGGAGGACTCTTAATTCCGAAGTTAAATCTTTATTACAGCATCTGCACGGGTATGTATGATCACAAGGTTTGCAACATTTTTAGGTCAAAGTGTTAACTGTTAAAATCTCTCTTGATGCCTTGCTTTCTATCTTATTCCCGATATGATCCGATGATCTGTGTGCTACTAAGTTACAGTCAAGCATGCTCCGTGAATCACAGCTAAATTAAGTTAGTTAAACCATCACTTAGTTAATGGTTAAACTAATTAAGTTAAGTTTGGATATTTAAAAGACACGTGACACGTTACTATTCACACCCTCTCATCTACATTTTAATGGTCTAATGAACCGTCTGACACGTCTCTGAGTGTCGATATCTTCATGAGTCAAGTAATGGGACAGTGCCCAAGTGTACATTTTTCGAAACTCATGAAAGTTGGAAACTGTCGGATTCCCACATCGACAGGGAAAGATTCGCCAAATGGTCAACACACTTGTCCAACCTGCTCCAGCATGAGAAGAACGATTAATTAATGAAGTTCTTGGACATGGGGCGGAGGACTGATGCTGCTCTACATCCCTGTCCGATAAAGTAGCATGTACGTAATTCAGAATCCAATAGGTTGTTAGGTACACTTCAATGTAGGTTGAAATAAACATGCTTTTGACTCATGTTCCTTATGAATTTTACTCATGGATGCCTCCAAAATGTCCATGATCTGTTGTTGAAAAATTTGTTGAAATTAACAGTGAGTGGTTGATAAGAAATGTGACAGCAGATTAGCTGACGAGATACTTTGCACTGTCCCTATCCACGAAGATCTCTTGAAAGAAGCTGCCTAAACTGGTACTAATCATTTTAAATGGGAACTTGATCCCACAAACGCTCAGCAGGTTTAGAATCAATTTTAAACCTCGTTAGAACATGATAGTGTACGAGTATTGCATGTACACTAAGAAACAATAAGTAAATTGAATAAATTACATTCAATTTCAGCAATGGTCAATTGGCTGACTATAAGGTCATGGCCTGAACAAACAATTTTTCAAATAGTCAAGTGATGCTAAAGCAGAGCACAAATGTGTAATAAGTTAATAGATTAAAAACTGATTCATGTGATGCATTACGCAGAGCACAGATAAAAATACTGATTCAATGATTAAAATTAAAAAGAACATGATAGTCAAATCAAGTGATGCAATGGTCAATGTCCACCTTAAAAATATGATAAATTAAGTAAATTTATAGTTAGAACTGGAAAAGGTCATTCAAACAATGTATACATTCAATCAAATCAAGTGACGCAATTGGCAGAGCCCAATCATAAATCATGAGCAGTAAAGGGGGGGGGGGGGGGGGGGGGCAACCATGTTAAAGTATATCCCAGGGTCAAAATCGGAGAAAAAAATCTACATTTTAATATACATTAATATATTAAATATATATATACATTAATATGTACACCTACAATTAGTAGATTTATATTCTTCGTTAAGATTTACAAGATAAGCCAGTTGTCAGTCAGGAATCAGGTTGAAGGAGACACTAGATATATAGGGGCGGTTCATGCCTTCTTTGCCTTTCCACGCACACCGTACCTCGTACTGCTACTAGCACACTCATTATTTCCATGCTCCGATCAGATCAGGCATGTCCTGATGTTACACATCACCTAGTCCTCCTTTGTCTCTGCAGCAAGTGACATCCTTTGATTTCTGACCCCTGATCCTGCTAAGCTAGCACTCGGGAATATTATGACTGGGATAAAGTGGTGGGTTTTGGAAAATTCCGCCATATTTTCCCCGGTCATTAATTATCCCAGTCATAAATTAACCTGCTATAATGTTCCCGAGTAAGGTAAACTAATAGTAATACATTTTGATGCTTGGTGGGTTTTGGAAAATTCTGCCATATTTTTCCCGGTCATTAATTTTCCCAGTCATAAATTAACCCGCTATAATATTCCCGAGTAAGGTATGCAAATTTGGTATCTACACACCTGACATCACGTGGACGACCATCGGTCATCACCATTGCACAGCCATGTTCTTTAGGTTAACCATGATGAATAGAATTTTGCAATGCGAATGAATATTCAATTATTTTGTTTTCCTTAAAGCACCAGGGTCATCTCAAACAGTGCAGTTATCCTCAAAGACCACCTGACTGTGATTAATGCTGAGGGGTCTTGCAGTATTTAGGGTAAGTGTGGCCTGTTCCGAAGAGATTCGAGAGATGTATGGTTCTGTGATAGAAAGTTCCATAAGAATTATTATGTTTATGTTGGTCCCTGACAAGTGACAACATACGTTCATAGGAGATATTTAATATTTATTCGCACAAACGGACCACTAATTGGTTATGTGACTCCTGTTATGTAGCTTAGACACGTTGTGCTTTAAGATCAGACCCACTAGTTCCTACCAGCAGGTGCACCCAGCTCAGCATCCGTTCTAGAACGTTCTTCAAGAGATTTAACAAAAGATAGTCCACTGACCAATTTCTATAAGTTTTAATTGTTTGCAAAAAATGCTTTATCAGTAATATTGGCTCACATTGGGCCTGTTTACGTTGAACATTGCTTTATATCACTGCCAGAGGGTCTGATCATAACTCTCAATTTCCGCTCACTACATCTGGCACAGGTTTTCCATTATTTCCAAACACAGTCTTCTGTTCACGTCTATGAAATATTACATTACAACATTGCAATTGTACTCGATTCCATGTTAATAAATGATTGTTAATCATTATAATTTGTTTTAGCAAGATGGCAAATGCTCAAGCCAGCCCCAGAAAAATGCCTAAGTTAGACCCAGCTGCAGACGTGAAGGCAGACACGAATGGTGATTCTCAAGACATTTTAGAAGAAATCGATTCAATTCAGACCTCATTAGATTGTTTAAACGATCAAGCCAGCGATGAAATTCTCAAAGTAAGTATATTTTGTAATTTACATCATTAACTTTAGACTCTCAACTAATGAACAGCGATCTAATTGTTTTTGTTTTAATTACTTTAATTAGTCTTAAGCATGACATAATGAATATGATACATAAGTCATCTGAAGTTAAGTAGTTTAAAACTGTAACATGAAGTCGCTTGTTCGCTTTTTAATCGAACGCACGCTTTAAAGCATCTTATTAAAACAAGTTAAGAATATATATTTAATTTTTAAATCTACCCTTCATTACCAACATTTACCAAAGGAATTAACCTAGTTTTATGTACACTTCCAGGTAGAACAGAAATACAACATGCTGAGGAAGCCCCATTATAAGAAGAGGAGTGACTTGATAGCAAAAATCCCCGATTTTTGGTTAAATACTTTTATGAATCACCCGCAAATAGCTGCTTTGTTAGACGAAACTGATGAGGAGGTATGTTATTTCGGGGGGGATGCAACGTCAATTAATGTCAGTATTCCATAAAAACCCCAAACTGACATTGACATTAATTGACATTAATTGACATTAATTGACATTAATTGACATTAATTTGTCTTGAAATTTGAGATTATCATTATTCGATAAATATTCAAGATATTCACGTCTTTGAAGTTAGACCGGTTCAAAAAAACAAAATGTCCTTGAATAATTATGAGTATTAAATAAATGAGTTTAATCTTAAACAGAGCTGTTTAAGATTCGTTATTCAAATATAAATGTCATGAAGGCATTTTGAATAATTATGAGTATGTTCTTATCTGTTGATCCTTAGGTTCAAAGACCACCAAAAAAAATTTCAGCTTCCAGCTCTTCCATCTTCGGTCCCCACCGGCCACGCCCATATTTTATTAGTTTCTTATACAGGTAAAATATCTAGAATCGGCTTTTTTAGTATGAAGGAGTAATGTTAGAGCTAACATTACTCCTTCATACTAAAAAAGCCGATTCTAGATATTTTACCTGTATAAGAAACTAATAAAATATGGGCGTGGCCGGTGGGGACCGAAGATGGAAGAGCTGGAAGCTGAAATTTTTTTTGGTGGTCTTTGAACCTAAGGATCAACAGATAAGAACATACTCATAATTATTCAAAATGCCTTCATGACATTTATATTTGAATAACGAATCTTAAACAGCTCTGTTTAAGATTCGTTATTCAAATATAAATGTCATGAAGGCATTTCGTTTAATGTGGGTTTTAAGTTCTGATGATGTTGAGAACCACGCCCTTGGATGGCCACGCCCATTTAAGAAAATTAAATTTCGGAAAACCGTATTATTTTAGTTTTATTGTTTAATGATCTGAATTTTTTCACATTTCACATTTCCATATGTGATAGTAGTGAATAAATTGATGATATAAACGTTCCAAAGTGCTAAAAATATGGTAGAACTACATAATCTCTGGTCGAAAAATATCGTGTCAATTAATGTCAGTATTCCAAAATTTTGCAAAACTGACATTGACATTAATTGACATTAATTGACATTAATTGACATTAATTGACATTAATTGACATTATTTGACGTTGCATCCCCCCCGTTATTTCTTATTGTTCTTTTGATTTTCAGCATAACTCTTTTAACTCTTAGTTTTAAACACACAATTCTTAAATTATAAGAACAGCTGTTCTTCATACCACGATCCCCTGAAAACGATCAACATTACGTCAATATTTCTTATCCTTCACAACATAAACATTGCACATGTTTTGTTAACAGTGTCTTGCTTGTTTAGGTGTTGAGGTACATGACCCAGCTCTCGGTCGAGGAAACAGAGGATATTAGGTCTGGCTACAAGATAATATTCGAGTTCAAAACTAATCCCTTCTTCGAGAACAGTCAGGTAAAAGGTTTTTAGGAATTTACTGATTATTTACATGTCCGCTGTAGTTTTTCTTTCTGTAGTCTTGAAATGAAGAATGAATTTAAGTAGTTACCTTATTTTTATATCTGGTTACTGAACACGGATATTCCTTTTTTGTTTGTTTGTTTCTGGTTTGGGTTATAACTTAAACACTTATTCCTCATCAATTGTGACAATTAACCATATTACCAATGTGCATGCTACTCTACTCGATACTCATACAGCAATCGCTATTACTAAACTGACCACATTTCTATAATCCGCTTTCAGGTCAAAATGTTCTTAACCTTGATTATACTAAATTCAATTTAAACGTTTCAGTTGGTTAAAGAATTCACGATGTCGGAATCCGGCGAGATGGGAACTTCAGAAACTAAAATCAACTGGAAGCAAGGCATGGTAAGTTATCTCAGACGGTCACTGATAAATTAAACATTTCTACTGTAAACCCCCTGATTTTCACCCTTTAACTCCTATATCTCTCAGTCATTCGCCATATTTAATCATCCTGGAAGGGGGGGGGGGGGGGGGGACGGTACTTAAACCCAATGCCCATTATACCTCAACTTTTGGTCAAATGGGCATGGGCTTAAAACTTGAGTTATGATGAAAATAAACACCACCATCGTGTCCGCCATCCTCTGATTAGTAAGAACAGCTGTATTTCAACTCAATATTAAGAGTATGGTGTTAGAAATATTTATTTTAGGTTTCGACCGAAAAGTTATGAAAACGATTCCCATTTTGCCCATTTATTCCCCCCAACTTTTGGCGAAATGGAAGGGTTGGGAGCAGACCTTAAAACCTTTAAAAAACCTTAAAAATCGTGAAATTGCCAAAAAAAAAACCTTAAAAAAGGAGAACAAATTACAAAACCTTAAAAAGTTTTTGAGAACCTTAAAAAAGCGTTCAAAAAGCCGGAATTGGCATCTTCTCAAATTATACCTAGCAATGTGTATCTCGGATTGGCATTTGCTCAAATTATACCTAGTTAGGTGTACCTCGGATTGGAAAAAATAACTGACTTTTTTTTCTTTCTTTTTTTGCGATACGGAAAGAAAACTTGAAAAAACAACCATAAAAACCGCAGGAAACACTGAAAAAACCTTAAAAAACACCGAAATAAAACCTTAAAACCTTTAAAAAAAGAGAGAACCTTAAATCACAACCCTGCGAAATGGGCATCAATGGGGTTGCCCCCCCCCCCCTATGGTACTGGTTAGCTAGCTGGATTCTGTCGAATTTTATCGGTAATTGCTAGTAGCTGATTGGTATTTGATCTTATCACATATCAGAAGAATGTGAACCACACTTCGCAATACCCCATCTCCATTTGCTAACCACTAACGTATTATACTAGATATAGATCCTATCTCTAGATTTTTGAAGCCCTGCTACAGAATTTTGAGTTAAATTTGCGCCATGAGACGATGGTAGATTATTTTTGTTGATAATATGTTGTCAAATCGCGTGACCCTAAATTAGCCAGGATATTTGTGCGGTAGATGCTCACGTTTTAAATGATTCTGAAGTGCAGTTGAAACTTTTATCCCTGGATTTAAGCATACTGAGATAGAAAATTACATCGTGCTTCTTTAACTCCGAAATAATAATGTTTAGAGTTTGGTGTTTCGCTGGTGATAAAACATGAATTCTTCAATTCTCCTTTTCAAAGATAACATAGACTAAGGAATGTTTAAATTTTGCAGTTTTTGTCTGAGACGACACTTGCACCTTTCAAATGTATAGTTGCTCTTCTAAAAGAGTAAGACTACAAGTTACAATTCTGAAACTATGCAAACATTCTAAAAAAAGCAACCCAGTTAATTTTGGTTCGACAATAGATATTTTGTTCAAAGCAACAGCATCCATGCATGTACACAAAGAACGTAATTATGAATGATTTCCTATTAAATCATTTAGTTTCAGTATAATGCCATGAACTAAAACCTAAATGACTGTAACTCTTGGACTCTTTTAAACATATCTTCTAAGACACAACTTATATCTTTTATCCCTCAAAAGTTACCGTTGTCATGAAATTTAGCGTTACCTCGACTCATTAATCGATGAGTGATGAGTCACTACGTGTTCAACCCGTGCCTGCTGGAATTATCCCTGAAATATATGAGAGAAGAATATGATTCATTGTTATGTTTTCAGTTTACTTCAGTCAAAAGTGTATTGTATTTGTAAAAAATAACTAAAATAGACTACCCCCAGGCATTAACAGAGAAAAGTGGGGATAAGGGTAAAGAGAAGGTAGGAGGAAAGAGGGATAAGCCCGGTGATGACCCTCCTAGCTTCTTCTCCTGGTTCGAGGACAACTCAATGGGTGGCGACGAAGTTGGAGAAGTGATCAAGGACGACATTTGGGCAAACCCGATGCAATACTATTTGGTAAGAACACAAAATTGGCGGGAAATCTTTGAATGACCGTTGTGGGCGAAGTTTACTGATTATAAGCCAGATCTTGGTACCATCTGAATAAGCAGAATAAGTTGGTGCATATTGCCGGTGTTTTTCTTGATTTCCAACTAAGGCTTCGGTTTGAACGAATAATGTTCAACTGTTGAACACGCGGTAAAATTTGGTTTCTTTGTAAATTTTGACCCGAAATTTCTGGGCTTTTGCGTGGAAAGGGTACATTGGTTAACATTTACAAGCACTCATAATCGCGCGCGCTTTTCCCACGCGCAAAATCTTCTGTTAACTTGAAGAGGCGTTCCCTCCAAAACTGTCCTGTTTGAGTTGTACACATCACAGTTTAGAGCTTGGCAATAGTAGTCAACACTTCCTTTTGTTACTTGTATATCTACACGATGCGAAGTTGGCCGCGAATGCCACTCGTTAGAAATTTAGTAGTTCGATGAAATATTCTAATAATGTGGAAAGCATTGTTGATGGGCTTGGGACAATGGGGCAGTCTCAAATTCTATATTTGCGTTTTTGACAGTTACCACACTCGATCATTCAGCGATGCTGAGCATTAGAGTCAATTTTGCTACATCTCTTCGACCTTCATTTTTTCGTCAAATTCAAGTATTTACCACAACCCTAGTATTGGTGTTACCCAGTGGCGTAACGTTGCCTGTTGGCGCCCCCGCCGAAAATGCGCCCCCTTGTTGGCGCCCCCTCCCCTTTTGGCGCCCCTCCCTAAAATTGAACAAATTAGGTGATTTTAGAGGATACGCCGGTAAAATCTCTAAAAAAGGGGGGGGGGGGGGGGGGGGGCAACCATATTAAAGTATATTAAAGTATATCCCCGGGTCAAAATCGGGAAAAATCCTACATTTTAATATACTTTAATATGGTTTTCTAGAGAAAAATGTGCAGTTTTACTAGTACCTCAGTTAAGTTTTACTAAATTGTTCCCACATTCAAACGACGATTTCGCAGAGCGGGGTCAGCGGGGCCCTTCGTTACGCCACTGGTGTTACCTCCGTCCCCGTTAATTTCATGCTCCCTTTCGCTAGAAGTAACATTTAAGTGAACACTCCTGACGGTGATACTCTAACTGTCTACCTTATCGGACGTTAATTGAACGCACGTTAAAATGAATGCTAGGGCCTCCAGCGTCCAATTAATGTTCGTTCAAATAAAGTCCGATAAGGTTTATTTTGATAAGTCGAACTAGTCGAATGGCACGAGAAGACAGATTTTATGTTTTAATGCTTATATTCGTCAACACCTAGGATCTGGACGAAGATGAAGAATTAGAAGATGATGAAGACCAAGATGCTGAAGACGAGGTAGAAGGGGAGGATGATGATGGTGCCGGGGAGGGAGAGGAGGAAGAATAAAACCTCTTACTTAGACAACTGCTCAGATATACTTCCTTTATTTTGACCGATTCTGCCGCTCTTATCCTCCCGCCACAGCTTATTTGATCAAAAACTTTAATCATGACTTACCAATTATACGCCAAAATTGCAGCCCAAATACTTTAAAGTGTGATCAAGTTGATTTGATATATTGAATATTTTAATTTAAATGGTTTACCGCCGATAACTGCATGTTGTCTATACGAATAGCAACAGTAGTTGACCGAAAACAGTCATTATTATTCGTTGTTTTATGCATTGAAAATATTACAAACCCCTATTTTTATCCATTTCAACTGTTTCCGAGGTGTTTTCCAAATTTTGACAACGTTGGGAGAATTGCTTTTATTAATGCATTTGCCATCAGCATAAGGGTCAGGATAACTTCTTGGAGTGCTTGCTCATTGAGGGTTAAAATAACTTATTATTTGCTGTAATATATTTCGATACCAACCCTCTTTTATCAACATTATATTTTGAACAAAATGAGTCTATAATTAGCAAAGTCGTGGGAATTGAAGACACAAAGGCACTTAAATGTTAAAATCTGGTATCTTCGTAGCCACATTGGCGTGGGTTTAAGAGAATCGATGAACAGCGGAAATCACTTTAGTTTTCTTGAAATGTGTTAATTAATTACACTCACAGCAACCAGTCTCTGGTGGTTGACGACCGATATACCATATACACTTCACCAGTCTCGAATAGGTCAAATTTTACCCTAATTGAGGAATATGACGAAACGGAATCGTCCATGTAAGTGTTATTCTATTGAAACATTCCAAGTGAAATACCCGGTGCTCGAGTTCGGCTGTGTCAAAACAAATAACAAATAAACTTATACCGTGGCTAATCATTAATTAGTTCGGAACTGAATGTAATGGTTAAAAACGAATACATAATTGAAAACAGATCGTACTTTGCATATACGATCAGGAAGCAAATAAGATAGCAGAATGCGGTTGAACTTAAAGGGCTCTGTTGTCAAGTTAGCATCAAAATTATGAAAATTAATACATAATAGTGAATGTCATGTTAGATACAAATAATAACTAAGATGAGACAGGATGACATTCAAATAAAAGACTTTATTAAAGTTGGTGTGCGGTACAATGATATGACGTGACATGATGTACGCATTATTTGCACTAGAAAAAACACCGCGCGAAATTTGATGTGATCTATACAACCAACAACAATTAACTAACTGAACCAAACCACATACAGAAAGATTTTACTTATTCACTCGCCAGCGAGTTGACACGTGATTTTAACGCCGTGATTTCATTGGTCACCTTTATTATATAACGCGCCGCAAAACCTCTAAATATAATTTGTCGACCGCGCGTGCAATAACAAATAAACTCAATTTAAGCTCCGAAATGGGCAATAATATGTTTGATCTCATGCAACGCATGGTTCGCCTGGGGACCCCAGGCTATAACGTTCATAAACTAAAACATAAAAGATATTCGGCTAGAGGAGCTTACTGGGCGGCGCTCAGCCTGTCATTCCGCCGAATCTCTATTCGGTTTATGAACTTACCTGGGGACCCCAGGCTATTATGTTCATAAACATTATAAAATAAAGATTTGGCGGAATGACAGGCTGAGCGCGGCCCAGTAATTTATGAACATTATAGCCTGGGGTCCCCAGGTAAAGAGGAGCGAGCAGTAGATTAGCAAGCTAGGTAACACATAAAAAGGCTTGATACACGCTGTATATATACCACTTTTCACAGAAAAGAATAATATTTTCTGCCGCGCCGCGCGCGAAAATCACGTCGTGACCCCCATGGCCCATTGTCGTTTTACTAAGTGGCCACGTTCAACGTTCCACTAACTCTAAGGGGTCGTTCACATATTACTTAATCAGCCGAGGGGGGTTTTCAAAAAACCCCCGGTTGATTCAAATGCTTACAGTAAATTGCGGGGGGTTTTGGTTACTGGGCTGCGCTCAGCCTGTCATTCCGCCGAATCTCTATATCAATATTGAATATGTTTATGAACATAATAGCCAAAGGTGGCAGGTAAGGTTTTGGTCGTTGATTACGTAATCAAAATTTTAATTTTTTACCGATTTTCGAAATACTAATTGGACAATTTTCGTTATAATTAATTATGTAATCAAAATTCTTTTCAAGTCTCAGACAGCAATGAATAATATAATGTGTATTTCTTGTATCTTTACATCAAAATTTAACTCAAAAATGGGGGGTGTCTTATCTTGATTACGTAATATAGGAGGGGGTTGGGTCTTGATTACGGGGGGGGGGGGTCAAACCTTGATTACTTGTAGCGCGATGCACTACTGGGTCGCGCGCGCATCAAATAATTCTTCTCGCAACCACCGGTAGATCGGCGAGATGCACCATGCACTGTGCCTCACCGAGCTGCGAAGGATTGACATCGTGAATCAAGTAATATAGGGGAAGGGGTTCGGTCTTGATTACGGTTGATTACGGAGGGGGGTAAAAATTGCCAAAATATTGATAACGTAATATGTGAACGACCCTTAATATCGTGGCCACGATTAGATACAGCCGAGCACTCGTGCGCTGCGCGGCAAGTTTACAACTTGGAGGACTTCGCCGCGCAAACTAGCATTTTTGCTTCGCATCGTTGCATTAACGGATGATACTAGTAAAATATCCGTCGACGAGTCCAACTCGGCGCGCGTCCTGGTAGGTTGTAAACCTGCAAATCTTTGCAGAGCAACTTGACCATTGTTAATGATCTGGCCCGGCGCGCGCTACTTCGTAGCTCTTGCCATCGGGCCAACATTTCGAGAAGAAAGCGGCGCGCGCTACTTCGAAGAAATTTAGACGAGTAACATCCGTCAACAGAGCAACGATCTCGATGGGTTGACACCGTCAATCAAGTCTACAACGTATGACAAAGTAAAGGAAAGGGCTCTGGTTAGAGCAATGTCACGCAGTACGCTAGGTGAATTGTGAAAAGGAAAGGCGTGCCTCAGTCTGGTTATGCTTTGCCTATGCATGTTTAGCTGTGCGCTCCCACTAAATGGCTCGCCCAAAATTTAAGACAATTCTTGTGAAAAGTTGTAGGTTTATATCAAGATGCGCACCGAATTGGACTCGTCGACGGTCTTGAATATTTGAAACAATTATGAACAAATATTTTAAGAGTATCACCCGTTAAATGAAAAGGCCCTGATCGAGGGTATGAACAATGAAAGTAATCGTAATCGGTGTATTTTTGAACGCTGATTCCGAATCACCCCGATCGACGTAGGGTAAAAATTGAATATGCTTCCCTGGAGAGATATGGGAAAAAACTGTTTTGATCACTTGACACGTGACAGGCTAGTAAAACTGAAAACACGAATTTGATTGTATAGGGCTCGGGTTAGGGTTGTGGTTAAGGTTATACATAACTTAAGTTTAGGGTTATGGTTAAGTTATAGTTAGGGCTAGGATTAAATTAGGGTTTATGTAAACAGTAAAACCGTTTTGTTCGGCTGCAAAACCATAAAAACCAAAGTCACGTGCTAATTTTTGGGCTGGCGAATAAGTAATTAAGAGCCTTAGTTAATTGTGGGTACGAATGCGTGGCCGTATATATCGTGGCTTTTATTAAATGAAATAACAAAAAGGATCACGGCGTGGGCTCTTACTTCACCTAACCATGTGCTTTCGCGCCACTGCGGGCGCGCGCTACTGCAAGCGCAAGGGCTCTGGATAGGGCAAAGCTCTTACTAATTCGCTCGCCCAAAATTATCACGTGACTTTGGTTTTTACGGTTTTGCAGCCGAACAAAACGGTTTTACGAAAACCCTAATCCCAACCCTAATCGTAACCTCGAAGCTATCCATAACCCTAAATAACCCTAACCCAAAACAATCGAATCCGTGTTTAACTAGCCTGTCACGTGACCAAAACAGTAAATTTCCTGGGAAGCGTTTTTATCCTACGTCATACCCTCAGGGCCTAGTTTTCACAAGAATTTTCCTAAAATTTGGGGGAGCGATTTAGCGGGAGCGCACGACATGAGACAAGTTTGTCATACGTTGTATGACCCGCCGCGCACGAGTGCGCGGCTCCCCATGTATCGTAGAAACTCTACTATAGTGAAGCGACAGTGGGGGTCACCACGTGATACAAAGACAAGTAATGCTTTGATGGCGCTGGCAAGTAAATCAGTAAAAACGAAGCCCCATTTAATAAGTGATAATGGATAAAACAAACTGAATCCCATCAGCTGAATTCCATCGGAATGTTTTATTTTAATGCAAATAGGTGATACTGAAAAGTGAAAAGAGCGCCGTGCATCGGCGCATAGGGATTGTGGATTGGCGTACCAGGTAAACCGAAACATTGATAATGATAATCAATAATAATTATAAAGTCAAACAAGTGAAACCGACACTTTTTGAAGACAACATTGTCAATAATAAATAGTGTGATGATTTGTCAAATATTATTTACACCGTCATTCCAAAAAGAAATAAGTTTAATTTAATTGAATATCACACATTCAATATTTTCCAAGGACAAGAGCGTGCCTACAAACTGTACTCACTAAATCGAAAAAGGAAGGACATTTTGAGCTGCATTTAATTGGGTTTATCTTGTTCAGCAATAAAAGCACAAACCATTTTGTGTCTAGTATCGGAATACAATATTAGACTATAATATAATTATAAGCAGTAAGTGGGTTAAATATTCAATATTTGATATTGAATATTTCAATTTTCAATCCAACGCCCTGGTTATACAGATACATGTCAACTCTAAAATCATAAACTCTAATATTTACAAGACAAGGATACCAATGTTAAAAAACAAACGTAGAAAATTGTAACAAAATTGAAAACTCAGAGCGAAATTCTACCGACGTATTCTGTAAATATAGGAACACAACGTCCATTACATAATACATATGTTGTTGACTTCCTCGCTCCAAAGTAAGCTTTAACTTGTTACCAAGCGCTGGTGGAAACTAATGCACGACCGATTTCCGAACAAGCCACGGCAAGTTAAACTGACATTATCCGACCAATTGACCATTACCGACAAATCCATCATCATTCTTGACACTTTTCACTTTTGCAAAGATATGAGATATAATTTTTTCTTGAATTTGAACAGTCTTCTAGTTCTGATAAAATGCAAATGATCGACTTCGCCATTGACATACCCAGTCACCCTCATCTTTACAAATCTCTCCATAACCCAACATAACCCCATAATAGATTGATGACGTAATCACAACAACTAACACGACACTGCCATTGTCAAACTGCAGAATCTTCCAGATTGTTGAGTTCTCGTAAGAGTGGCTCGCACGATTTGTTGGCGCGTTTGTTGGCGCCAGGTGACCGCGTAATTGAGCCGTTGGGAGATGCTCTGGGTAGAGGGCGGTACCCTTTAGGAGGTGGCCGAACTTGACTCCCTCTTTTGGAGGCATCTGAAGCTGGAGTTAGTGCAGGAACAGTGCTTTTGACTAGTTTTGGACGAAATTTGGTGTCGTCAATTCCATCACAGAAGTACGTTTTCATTGCTCCTTTACCCTGAAATATTATTGTTTTACTTCAGTGTTCGTTAAATTCAAGTCATGAGAGTGCTTATAGTGGTAATTACATAATTAGGAAAATTATTTAAACCCAAAGCAATGTTACTCTTATGCCATGATACCAAAACCTTTGAGAACAAGAGTAAGAATAGTTGTTATAGCATATTCCGAGATTTTTGAGAAAATACCCGTTGGCGTTAGAGTGCAACTGCAAGTAATGCTTTATTATAGCCTTTAGCAACTGTAGCTTAGTTACTAGCTATATCTTTGAGGCAGTCATACTCATAGCTATAGCTATTTCTTTGTAACTGTAGGTAGTATATTGTAGATATGGCTAGTTCGAATTTGGTTTGATTAGCTATAGCAGGTGCAGTGGTACCCGAACTAGAAACACGCTACTATTGGCTACAAAAATCATGGTAAATGCTTCACACCAATGGCAATACCCTTTAAATCGATCTTTCACAGCACCGTATAATGCACCAGAATAGCAAACTGGTACCAGAATAGCAAACTGGTACAGGAATAACAGTTCCATCCTTTCACTCATGCTCAGAACTTTCAATTTCCAGTGACGGCTGTTCGTTTAAATGAATTGGAGTTCTGGCGATCACATTTTCGAATGTTCTTGAGGGTACGCTCAATGTGTTGAATCTGCTGTCGAGCTCACCGCTCACGTGATGTCACAAAAAAAAGTGTAAAAGTTAACGTTAAAAAACTACACAAAATTTACTAAAAACCCACAATTGAGATGCTCAATGCTCCCTTGTTAGAATAAGGAGACCTTCATCTCAAAAATAAAATGCCTCAACAATGACACAATAATCCGGGTGGTATCCTAGCCTCCGCCAACACATGACGTAAAAGCAACTGAATCGTGGATTTCAGCAAGCAGGAACTGGCTCATAAAACCCTAAAAAACCGACCCGCACTCCATCACTATCTTCAATACCGCAAGTTTTAGCAGCACCCTCCAAAACTGACTCTGCAAAGCTAGTCTCACTGCGTCCGCTGTGGCTTAGCGCTGGACTATTCTGGCTGTGGCTTAGCGCTGGACTGTTCCGGCTGTGGCTCAGCGCCGGACTCATTTTATTTTTTACATGTTTGTGTTGTGCCTCTTTCCGCAGCTCTTTAATTAGCCGCGGTCGCTCCTTCCCAGAGTGTTCACAGAAATACGTTTTCATCGGTCCTTTACCCTGCAGTTTACCGTTTAACGTTCGACTTTCTTAGACCAAAATTAAGTTTTTGATCGTCGTCGAAATTGGATGTTAATATAATTTGAGAGTACTGAGATGAATATAAAGAGTAGATTAACATTCAACAAATACAGGAGGCTATAATTAGAAAATAGAGATTGAAAGTCTACAGTATTGTTGAGTATGCTGAGTATTGTTGAGTATGCTGAGTTTCAAAGAATAAAAGTAGGAAAGTCAAGAGTTTACAGTGAAGGTAATCAGCACCTCCGGAAGGATTTGAACAATTGAGAAATAACATACAACATTAACGAAACAATTCAGTATGAAGTATGATAAAGACTGATCTGAAGTTTACCTTCACTTCGATAGTACCACCTCGTTCAGAGCAGTTGTAACAATCGTATTGTTCTAACAGTTCGTATGTACACTGGGACATGTGAACTCTCATCGCTGAAAGTGAAATCAGTGAAAGTGAAAGTGAAATCAGTGAAAGGGGAACACAAATATGTTTTAGGTTGTTCTTAATTATTTTCGGTTATCTTAACTAAAAACTAACTAAAAAGTCTGTAAAATAACTAACGCATTCCGTTGCTCTCCATTCTAGATGCAGTGTTGATGGTGTCTCCGAAGAGACAGTATCTGGGCATAAGTTTGCCCACTACCCCAGCACAACATGGTCCTGAAAACGGAGCTTGGTTTAACTTTACGTTCAACAACTGTTAATAATATTGCTAATGCTATAATATAACAAAACAATTTTCCCATGTGATCGGCTATTTTAACCAAAACTTGCGTCTATAATGTCGTTTATGTTTACTAGTTTTACAAGGTTTATGAATGAGTTTATAATTAAAAAATACCAACCTGAGTGTATACCGACTCGTATCTGCATTTGATAGCCGGGTTTGTGTCTGACTTTAAAGTTCCTGGTTCCCTCGATTAGAGCAAGAGCTGTCTCTGTTATCTCTATCACGTGGGAGTCACCTGAAGGTAAAAGTGTGAATAACTTGGAAGTTTCGATTTAATAGAATCTAACAAAAATCGGCGTAAGAAAGACTTTCTATTGGCTTGAATCGTATATTGATAAAGTTGCGGTGGAGATTTTGAAGCTCTAGAGATTCTAATGATACGTCCCTGTCAAGGACGAAAACAATACTAGTATTAGTATCCTTTTATTCAAATCAAAAATAGAACATAAACGAACATCTTATAGATCTGGTAAGTAATTTGAAAGGAAAAAAAATACGGATACAAAAAGTGGCACAATAGCAATAACGCACCATTTCTATCAGGAAGTCCGGATACCAGCATGTAAGCATCACCAATAGTTTCCACTTTGTACACGTCGTATGATTCTATGATGGAGTCAAACATAGTGTACATGTCGTCCAGAAACGCTACCACCTGACGTTAGAACAATGAAAACTCTGAGAATGTGTAAAACAAACTTTAAATTTTACAACCAACCAATAAATAGGGATAGCATAACTATTCATATCTAATTGGAACCATTAAACTATGAATTATTTTTGTAAGCTGGTAAGTGATTAATTAAAGGAGCAATGATTGTTTGTTGATTGACATTTTGGTCGAATCCCCCAGGATTGTGTACACTCCAGAAAACTAAGTGCGAGCTGGATGTACTGACCTCCATGGGAGTGCTCTGGGAACAGAGGTTGGTAAAGGATACCACGTCACTGAAATACACGGTCACTGTATCAAACAACTCCGCCCGTATACTCTGCCCTTGTTTCATCTTCTCCGCAACAGCCCTGGGTAACATACGGTAGAGTAACTGGTCTGCTTTGTGTTTCTCGATCTGAAGCTCAGCAGTTCTCTCGTCTACCTTGATCTCCAGGTTAGCTGCGTACTTTTCCATCATCATTATCACTCTCTCTGTTATACTCCGTGATCTGGGGAAGGGATCGGGGTGTAAAAGTGGAGTTATTGAGTACTCTGAGGGTCTAGTCCCTTCAACTGTGATCTAGAGAATCGTGGTATTCTTTATTTCTGTAGCAAGAACTGGGAAGTGTTTCTCTTGTACCACAGTCACTAAGTTACAGTAGGTTATTTAACATTAAGCTAGGAAACTGAAGTAAATCATCAAATAATCCTACTTTTCAGGGTAGATGTGTTTGAGTCGTCGTCTGATCACTCCGATATCTGGTCTGGCAAGGTCGTTGTTAGACCACATCTCTCGGACCAACTTTTGTAGACTAGTTAGCTGATGTAAAGAAGAGTTAGACCCACAATTGCTTTTAAATGTTAGTTCGAATTGTTTCATTCTAACAAAACTTATTTCTTAAGCATGCTATTGTTACGATCATTTCGGATCATTTACCAATTATACTCCCTGCGATTTATGAATATTACAAAATATCTAAGATGCTAGCAATAGGCAAGGGTAAGTCTAAGTACTCAGAGTAAAATATAACCTGTTCGTTATTATTCTCCTCCAGCTCTGGTCTACACGGAGGTTCCTCGCACGTTGATATCCTCTCTACTATCTCTGTTGGAAAAGTTTGAAATTAAGCTTACCCTGGTCAAGGGTACGCAGGAACAATTCAAGTTCAAATATCATTATTTTCGAGAATCGTTGAGGAAATTCTCGTGGAGAGTAGAATTTGAAGTATGCTGATGATGCTTTAATCATTGTGGAGCAACATGAAAGATAGTTATGATGACTTGGTTTAAGTTCTAAAGAAGTTAGATGAAATCTTAATGCAGTACTGAAGAGCGCAAAGAGTAAGCATCAAGAGCAATAGTTAAATACTTCATACAAGGTTTTTGATAAAGAAACTATAGGAAACATTTTGTATGGAGAATTGAGGATTACAAAATTCAGAACTATGGGGATCATATTCCAAATAAATACCATTAAAAAATTGCAGGGCTTTAACAAGACGATAACCCATACTAGATGTCATGCTCACGCGAATTTGTGGCAAAAATTTAACATAGTGAGGAAAACATTAAATATTGACTAAACTGGGCCTCCTTCAAACATGATAGTTGATACCAAAGCCAAATTTAGGTTCCTTTAGATGTTTAATATGAAAACATTGAAATCGACTGATTTGCCTAAGAACGTTAAAAAACATTTTCTTATTTCTTCATTTAATCTCGATGACTATGCTTTCGCTTATAGCATGCAAAAGCAGTGCTAAACTGTTCATGCAACGAACCTCGGTAGTTTGGAGCATTTGAATCTGATAATATGTTTAATGTTTATAGGCCTAGATAATATGTTTAACGTTTATAGGCCTATATAGAAAGTTTAATGTTTATAGGCCTATATAGAAAGTTTAATGTTTATAGGCCTAGATAATATGTTTATTGTTTAACGTTTATAGAATGTGTTTTCAGTTTAAAAGTGGATGGATATGGGTATGAGAAACGTATCGACAACTTTCATGAGTTTAATACCATAAAGGAATTGAAGTTATAAAATAATAATTCATGGTTAGTGGCATCGTGGGAAACAGGAAACCTACTTTTTTGGGCGCCTCAGAGTCAACGACCATTCCAAATTGTAAGTATCATCTTTCCACAATGCCCATTAAGTTGTTTGACAATGGCCCGTGAAATCGACCGAACATAATTAAACAATTAACTAATTAAAAAACAATTAATTGCAACAGATCATTCATTGTTGGCAGTCATTGGGATTGGTCGTACTAGGATCGCCTCATTTGATCCATGCACTCAAATTAGATACAATCGAGGAGCTGATCGCAGCTTATTTAATCACACAAGATGGTTAAAAATCAAAAGCAAAATTATTTCAGTAAACGGTGGTGTATGCTGTCGTACCTTTTGGTGAACCACTGTAGGTTTCGAAGGGGTACTGTCTGGTGAGGATCTCGTTGATGATTATTGCAAAAGAGTAGATGTCTCCCTTCTGGGAGCCCTTGAAGTCATTCTCCGAGAGAATGAACTCTGGAGCTCTCCACAGTTTACCTGGTGAGAAGGTGATTAATTCAACTAATCAGTGTGTTAAGTATTTAGTCCATTAGTAGGAGATAATAAACTGCGGATAATTATAGAAATTAGATGTGATTCAGTGAGAGTTCGATCTAACTTGTTAGACGTTTTGATAATCATAGAGGTGGTCAGTTGTTAATAAAAATGGAGAAATCGAGGTTTTCAGATGGGCCACTCGCCGAGCATACCACAATCTTCCTGGTGACCAGCTCTGTTGCGTCCAGTTTTAGGACGAGTTTATTCCAGCTGTTGGTATGCGTTATTCAAGGACATGTTAATAGTAAAAAGATTGCTAACCTTTAGCTTTAACTTTGACTTAATTGCGATCATTAACAAACAGTTCAATTAAAGAACAGTTCCATTAAATCTAACACTACTTTTTGTAAGATGCCCTTTCTTGCTACGCTTGCACAAACCAACAAATTGACCATAAATACCGACATACGCCAAGTGACAGTCAAAACAGTTTTTAGCAAAGGAATCAGCTGGATTTTCAAAGAACTCGTGCCTTTTCTAAACTGTCAACATTGCTTTGACCAGTAGTTACTTTAAAAAAAATCAATTAGATTGACATTTTGTGGCAGTGCTTTTAAAAATTTTTCTCTGCTTGTAATGATGGATCAGGCTGGTTCATCACGAGAATCCACCCTGGTCGGACACCTTACCCCAGACACACCCTACATAGTGATGATAGGAGACGTGGGTACGGGCAAGTCAACCATCGTTGAGAAATTATCACACGAAGTTGGCCGGAGCTCTAAAAGTGATCTCAGTTTTACTCGAACTTCTGAGCAGTTCTGGACGTACGATAGCAGCATGGTTATCAGTGATACCCCAGGAAGTAACGCAGCTCAAGACAAACTTGGACACAACATTCACATAGCTCATGCTCTAAACTTTAACCCCGTCTGGAGGATTATGATCATCTCCAAAGCTGATACCAGGATGGATAATACGCTGGATGGAATCAGAAAGTATGCAGAGCGAATGCTGGACTTCCCGATGGACCTGATGGGAGCTTTGATAACCCATATGGATACGGTTACTTGGTCTGGTGAAGACTTTAAAAGTTTGCTTGAAAAAGAATTAGGAATTGAAACTGTTGTGTTCTCCGGATTAGATACCCCGCGGGAGATTTTACTTGAAGATATGAAGGAAATCTGTGTGAAAGGAGTTGAGATAACGATCGATAACGAAAACTTCTTAAAGGTTTTTAAGATCAACGACAGCCGTCTGAAAATCCTGAGATGCACTAACAGAGAGGTAGAAGATTTCAAGAAAAATAAGGCAGGGTTTGATAAACAGAGAAAACTGTTCGATAAGGAAAATGACAAAGTTGATCTTATTTTCGAGTTTCAAGCTTATATGAGGAGGGAGATAGAAGCTGCACAACGGAGAGTAGCGGAAGAGAACGACTTCACTTTCTCCGGAGAAGAAGGTGCCAATGAAGCAGGGCACATAGCCAACATGGTGAATCAGATGAGAGTGGTACTGTATGATGTGCGTGTGGCAGCTGCAGAGTATCAAAGTGCCCACGGAGTGGATCAGGCGAGAAGGTGCCCTCATTGTGACTTAGTCTGGACCAAGGTAGAGGGATGTGACGGAGCCACAACTTGCGGAAACAGACCTTCGACTTCTCTAGATCTCAGGGATCCTAGTTTTGGAATTCTGGCTACTTTCACGTTCGAACGGTTCTCTGATGGAATTTTCTCCATCTTAAAAAGTGGGAAAAGGAATATACCAAAGACCATCAGCACTGATCCTTCAAAATACTACGGTTGCGGTAATGCTATTATCTGGAACGATATGCCTAGAGTGGAACTACCAGAGGAGATGCGAGCAGCAATACCAGTCACTATGGATGATAATGTTCCCGTACTATCAGACAATCTCCCCGGCGCACAACGTTTCATGGATGCTTTGGCTGGATTACTTGGCTGTGGGGTAGCTATAAAGAAACCTAAAGGTAAGAAAAATAAGCCAAGAAAGAAGTAGAACCACAAAGCGAGGACAGTAATTAAGTGATCAAAGTTCGAACTGATTTCATTGCAGATTTTCCATATAGATTTAATAATAATTTAAAACTGCGATAGATCATGAAACAATTGTTAATAGACTGTTTACGGAATTAAAAATATGATCGCTGCGATAACTCCATGTTTTGTTGTTATAAAAGTTAAGACCTTCTGTTATCCATTTATTGTCTGGGTAATGTATTAATTGATTATACACATTGCATGTATTTACGTTATATAAAAACGAATCATAATCGATTATATCATCTTAAATTGTATCACCCCCGATCTAACTCACTGGTATATTTGTGGTCCTCAGTTTCGTCTGTGTCCATGCAACCTGCCCTGAAGTCCCTTAACCCATAGTCTGATATCTTCAGCACCCAATGTGAGTCCACTCCCAGAGAGTTGCTACTCAGGTTACCGTGGTATTGTAGCACTGACTTGTGGATATACTCTAGTGCCTGGGGGAAGTGTGGTGGTGGTAAAACTTAAATAGGATTTTCCAGGAAAATTTAGGGTTAGGTTCAGATTTTTTGTTTAGGTTCTCGTATAGGCGAAATTATCAAAGCTATATAAGATTGAAATCACTAAAGCTTTGAAAGATGCTGCGTTCATAAATTATTTAAAATTGAGGATAGCATCTGAATTTATGTGGGCACAAAGAAGCACTACTAGCAATTGTGTCCTTTACCCTCCTACATAATTTGAACATTTTTGTGGCTAACTCATTGAACAACATCTGAATTAAAATGTGTCTAGTATTAAAAGATTCAGTAAGTAATTTTTTCATGTACGCTGTACACTGTAGTTAGTAAATCAAATCAAACTTTTTCGATCAGCCGCGCGCTGAACCAGTGTTGCACTAGGTAAAAATTGTGTATATTTTGTTCATTTTTGAGTGTAAATTAATTTATTAATTTATCACAAATTATTTTATTATAATATAACCACTTATGTGAAATGGTTATTTTGACTTTAAATATTTGAACTAAATATGAATTGATTGTGGGTATAAAATAAAATTTGTTTTACTAAAAATTTGTTTTACTATGTAAAGGGAGACGAGAAGATGCGAATTTGAGAAGTAAGTATTCAAATCAATTACCTTGGCAGCGTCACCAATCATGGAAGATTTAAACATGTCATCAAGAGTAATCTTCTCGTCACTCAAAATATCTTGCAGTGTTCCCTTCCCCATCACCCCTGAGAAATCAAGGATTCAGATTAAGCAGTTTCCACTTTTTAAATTCTGTTAATTCTAGACGAAAGTAAAGTTAACTAAATCCGCAGTTCATTCCGAGTTCTTCACAAAAAGAAAAAGCAAGAAAAAGTTTGTTAAGTTCTCACCGCTGACAATCATGATACTACCAGGTTCCGGACATGCCCCCAAGATAGGGTTCACATTCTCATGAGACAACTCCCTCACTGTCTTAAACTCCTTGATGATAGTTGGAGATATTGCTACTGAGTTCTTAGCTAACCGTGATACACTGACTAGTTGACCCTGGTGAGATTGCGGTTACTGATCATTAGAAACTGTGGGTGGGTGAGTAGTTTGCCTGAACAAAAGTGACATTTTTGAACTTCTAGTCTTCAAACCATAATATTTTACAGATTTTTAAATCTTCATTAGAAGATGGAAGCTACGTTAACCACTGACAGATTTCTTTTAAAAACTGTCCCTTAACAATGGCATAAATATTACTGGTAGATAATTACCTTGTAGATAGCCTTATCTCCATTGCTCTTGACTTGGTCCATATTAGATACAAGTGAGATAGCTGACTTGTTTGATGTCTCATCTCCGTTCTGGGAAGAGGGGTGCTAGGTTTAGTACTTGTTTCAATATGCTTATTTTCAATATGTTTATTAGAACATTATACTTTTATTGTTAGTGTTCAAGACTTCAAGCACTGTGATTGTGTTTAAGCATTTTTGGAAGATAGCCATGAGTGAGGTTTCGCAATTTATAAATCTCAAGATCAAAATTAGTTTCATTCGTATGATAGCGCATGCAGATTGGACATGAAGAACTCAATCTATCATATCCATTATCCATTTGTCATAATTAGCTGACTCAGAAGATATGATAGTCACAATCGAGAGAATAGCAATTAAGCAGCGTTGATTTACACCCAGAAATCAGAAACCTAATCGGTTCTAAGTCATCTCGTCATTTAAAGTGATTAAAAACTTCTGGACGATAGCAAAAAATTATTATAATACGTCAATCGGACAAACTTGAGAGGAGATCAAGAGATTTCGCACTTCCCACTTTTAGAAAAAATGAGATAATTGCCAATGCCATCTTGCCAAGGCAAAATCAGATAAAACAGAGAGGATTGAACACAAATTCACACGACATCAGGTATTAGCAGTTGAATTAGAGGGACACGCAAAATAGATCAGATTGATCAAGATAGATCAGATAGATCAGATAGATCAGATAGATCAGATAGATCAGATAGATCAGATAGATCAGATAGATCAGATTGATCAGATTGATCAAATATAAAGGAATCAGCTAATAATCACCGCGTAACTGCGATTGCTCGACGCCATGGACATTCCGCAGATTGACCGGGAATACTGAAGAGCAATTATTTTTATGAAAATATAAAAGATAACCGTCCCCCCTCCCCCTCCTGGGGTTTTGTAGAGGATCACTAGGGAAGTCAACAAGAGATGTTATCTGCAGGGTTCTTTGACATGTTTTCAATTTTCGTGCGACAAATCTCAGTAAGATTTATCGCACCGTATCGATCATAAAATATAATGGATTCACACCAGCGATTGTTAGTACAAACAACGACGTTTACTTATCAAATTACATCAAATAATGTTAATGATTTTAGACCTATAGAATCTAATCAATATTACGAAAGCCTAATTATAACCGACTACTTACGAGACTAAGAGAGGATCTGAACTTAGAGCCGACCATCTGCAGGTCATCTTTAGGTATGATCCACAGTTTCTTATCTCGCTCAGCTTGTTCGTGTCGTCTCCTGGAGAGAAAGGTTGTGTGTTAGCTCCTTATATGGTGTTAGCTCCGTATATGGTGTTAGCTCCGTATATGGTGTTAGCTCCGTATATGGTGTTAGCTCCGTATATGGTGCTAGCTCCTTATATGGTGAGTAAAATCACTTGTTCACTACGTAGCTCTGAATCGAAATTTTCAAAAACTCTCTTTAATGATGAGGTGACCTATTATAGCTAGCACTAACAAATGATCCCATGTACCGCGAACGATCGGTAACCATTCATTTTCATCATCTCATTATTTTCTTTTCATCGCAATACTACATACAATTATACAGCAAGTTTGTAGTGAACTTTACAATTAATTAGAGCTGCAGTACGTTGAAAGAGGGAATGTCAGTAATGTGAGGTGTCTAACCCTAGTTGTGTGGGATAATAATTATCTGTCTTCATGTTACAGTGTTGTAACAGGTAAAAAGTTATAATTTCAACTTATTTTATGTTGTGTCTGATGACTGATAGCAATGAAATTATTACTGTGGACAATTAAGGAATATTGACATGATAGAGAAGCCAGTAACCTATTAATTAATGATTTTAATGAGGTTTGGTGAAATAATCCTTGAACTCACCAAATGAAAATAGCGACACAAATAATGACGATAACCAACAGAACCGCCACTATTGCTATCACGTATTTATCAGGCGAATTATCTGAAATTATAAACTGTTAAATATTATTTCATAAATTCAAACTGGAAAAGTAATATGTTTCCTTGTTATTATAATCGAACTTGACACAAATTTGAAGTAGTTAACAATAAACAACCTAAAGATCTGATAAGTCTACAACGAAGATCGGTAAACATATTAAATGGCAATAACTTAAATAATAAAACATGTTTCCTTTAACTTAAAATACAAAATAAAGGCTAGCTATCTCACGTTCAGGGTCGATACAGATAAAACCATCATCTCCACATGTAGTAGGAGTGTCATCAAGAGACCTGTTCCCGGGGAACTCCCACCCCTCCGTCTTCAGGGTCATGTTGTTGAACACTGAGATGTAGGATCCTATACCCTCGAACGAGTCACCTGCGTATACAATGTTAGTTAGGTGGGCTGTGATCAGGGGGGGGGGGGGGGGGGGGGGGGGGGGTTTGATAGTGTTGTTTATGTAAGGGACATTGTTTGGTACTTTAAAGTGGAAGATTATTGAAAAATGTATAGATCGTAATTTCTTTAATAGACATGGTTTATGGTTTCTCTCAGATCATGTTTTTGTCAAAGAATCACGATTGTGGAAGCTTAAAGCTGGCTTCTAGCTTGAGCATTCAACTCCAAACTGAACCCTGACCTTGATAAGATGTAATCTCGTAATCACTCTCCCTGTCTCCCTCACTGTTTATCAACACTTTCCTGCCCAGAGCTGCAAAATTTGCCGATCAATCAGTCATGTTATTAATAATGTGTCTTAAAATTAAGTTAACTATCTTGAAATTATTAACTGTCTTCAAAGTCTTAACTTCGTTTAAAGTTTCGTTTAAAGTTCTTCAAAAACGTGCAGTGGTCATATTTAAATTTCGAATGTCAACCAAGATTGGTGCTTATTGGAGTGAGTTCTGGGGTGTTAATATCAAAATTTACTACCAACAATTAATTCAAATTAATGTTAAAAGCCGTAACTAAAGTAAGAAAGGTGCCGCACCATCGAAAGTATAGTTCATCATGAGTTGTGCCAGCTTCTTTCCCTGTCTCACGTCCGTGGTTCCGGGTTCATTCTCAAACAGCCTCTTTAGGGAGAGAGCGTACAGGTACACCGCATCGTACAGATTCTGAGCGTACGTACTTACCTACGAGAGGGTAAGGGGTCATAATGGACTAATGTGATTATTAGGATAATTGTCAAAAATGTTAAGAACGTGGCCACATGAATACTACCCCTCATACAGGCAAATTTAAAAAATTATATTCTAACAACTAAAATCAATACAACAAACATACATAACTAGGGGTAATGTTGAAATGTTCTTTGGTATAGCTGATAAGGTCTGCTTCAAATTTCCTGTATATCGGGGTGTTCGGTACCCTCACGGTGTACGACATAAAACCTGAGATTGTTTTTAACCGTCAAACTCATAATCAAAATAAAACTTTCTTGTATAAGCTATCTTTCTCAAATAGTCGGTTTTCTAGATTCATAAATTGTGCGAAAGCAGATTTGCTTAACGCAGGCTTGACAAAGAAAGTTTCTCACCTTGAAAAGCCCGCTTAGCTCGCTCGTCTTGTGCGCCGTCTCCGCCCATCCAGCCAGAAGCTTTGTGTCTGAAAGAACGAGACTGTCATTAAATTAATATCTTTTGTAAAAATCATTAGAATCAATCAGGGCAATAAACAGGATGATAATAGAATTTGTCAAGAAAATTTCAGATTTTTTCTGAATAGACTCAGTGATGATGCAGTTTTAATGAAGGTAATTAATAGATAAATCACGTTTTTGTTTGTCTTCAAGGTATTATTTCTAGAGCACTGTCCATATAGAGGTGAGAGAATAAGTGGAAGTGGTGTGGAAGTTGAGAACGGGCTACTGTACTCATGGCGCAACCGGTTTATTAATTGAAAATTAAATTAAAAAGTCGCCAAGGTTTGCACGACATCTTTTTTATTATGAATCTGGTTCAGTAAACTTGGATTCAGGCAAAACGAGATTTTAATTCAATATTTTATGAAAATGAAATGCACAGTTCCTCGGTTCAGGCTACTCGATTGAGAGAACCCTCTCAAAGTAAATATTGACTCACACACAGGCCAAAATTCGTCAAGTATGTTTAAAAATTCTGGTAAACTAATTATAACCCACCCCAAAATGTCGACCCCAACCCAAACGTATCCATTGAGCATATCCTCAGCTTCAGCTCTGAGGAGAAAGTCTCGCACATCATCAGTGTACCCCAAAATGAAGATTACTGAAGATGCAGTGTTGTTAATAACATGTAGTGAGAGAATGTGAAACTAACGAAGTATAAATAGCTTACTCAATATTTGTATGTATTATGCCAAATGTGGAAAATTTTACCATTTTTGATTTATTTTCCGACGGTATAAGGCCTCTATAAAAATGTTAGGTATTTGACAATTCAGAATGTCCCGAGTATTTGATTTGTATGGTACAACATTTACAGTGTAGCAGATACACAGGAATGAATAATAAAAAGACTGTCATTAGTCATAAGAATATAATATGACTATAACAAGACTATAACTAAACTATAATAAGACTATAACAAGACTATAACATGACTATAACAAGACTATAACAAGACTATAACAAGACTATAGCAGGACTATAACAAGACTATAACATGACTATAACAAGACTACAACTAGATTATAACAAGACTATAACAGGATTATAACAAGACTATAACAAGACTATAACAAGACTATAACAAGACTATAACAAGACTATAACAAGACTATAACAAGACTATAACAAGACTATAACAGGACTATAACAAGACTATAACAAGACTATAACAAGACTATAACAAGACTATAACAAGACTATAACAAGACTATAAAAAGACTATAACAAAACTATAACAAGACTATAACAAGACTATAACAAGACTATAACAAGACTATAACAAGACTATAACAAGACTACAACAAGACTATAACAAGACTATAACAAGACTATTTAGGCAAGGTGACCTACTCCGGGCCTTCTCCTTAATCTCCTTCATCAGCTCGTTCCTCTCAATAGCTAGTGTTTGGTTAGCACCGGGGTTCTTGCCGGAGTAGAACTGTTTGTACAGCACCACACTGATCTGGCAATCGTCACTTCCGGGTTTACAGTCCTCCGGGTTATCGGACACTTTCTCCTGTAGGAGTTTAGGGTAAGTTGTAGGATACTAAAACACTGGGGGGTTAGGGTGCACGACTTCCAACTTTCCCAAAGGCAATCACTAACCCACTGTAAAATGGACAGAAATGCATAATGGACTGTTATTGTTCAATCCTTCTTTATTATTATCGACAGGTTTCCAAGTCTTTTGTACCAAATTTAGTGCTAGAATAAGAACATGCTCAACTGGAAAGATACCCGACACTCCCGAACAATCTTTGTCTGAACGCCTCATAGAAAATTCAAGATTTATTTCTGATAAATCTTAACCTTCTCGAGGACTTCCTAAAAACTAACCTTTTCGAGAACTTTCTGAATATGTCTGGCTGACTGAGCGAAAAGGTTCTGGTTAGCGGAGATGATAGCGCACCTATACCACTTGTAATGCTTCATCAGTTCTGGGGGAGACGGTTCAAAGAAAGACGTTTGGTGAGCATTTAACTTTACAATTTGCACTGTGGTCAAATTCTAAATTCTTTGCAATCGTGTAAGACAAATCGTGTAAAAATCTAGACAACATGCTTTGTTACTTAATAGACTGACAGAAATTGGACAATTCAGTAAATAAAACAGACAATTTTCTTATCGTAATTCTAAGAAGCAATCTAAACGAAAACCGTTTCAAAACGAACCTGTGAAAGGTTTGCCAAGAGTTTTATAAGGTCCAGCAGTCCTGACAAATGTGGGGTATGTCTTCTTATCTGATAGAGCAGGACTAGCACAGGCCCAGGAGATCATGGGGAGGTTCCAGTGGGCTGCCAGGTGACCTGTCTGTTCACAGGACACTGAGCAGGCAGGACCGATAAACGCGTCTACACTGTCAGGGGAGTGGGGTTACAAGGGAGGTTTATGGGGTTTTTAGTGGGTTTTAGGGGGTTAATTATAGAATGAAGCTATGAGAATTTCATGTGAAATTTTGGAATAATTAATTGCGTTTATCGATACCATGAAAGACTGAAAGACTAAAAGAGGTCACTCAGGCAAAAATCTATAAAAATTAACTTCAAAACTCTCCAAAATTGACCGATTTCATCCTCAAGCTGAAAAACATACTTCTTAGACCACAAGTCGGTAACATTGGCCAGAGAATCAGGGACACTGCACGCGTCATCACGCCACTGTGGTACTAGTTTGTAGCCAGGGAGAAGGGCCGAGTTTTCGTTAATCTCGTTTATTGCTAGATAGGCAGCTGCAATCGCCCTGTAGAGATGGTGTAGTGATATTTTGGTGGACTCAGAAGTCAGAATCAACATTCCAAAATAGATGCCATGCATAGTTGTGAATACATTCTCAAGTATACTACTTGACTACTCAAATTTAAAATTTAAGGTTAGAAATTGAAATAGAAAATAAAAAGTGAAAATCATAATTAAGATTTAAAAGGAAAATAACGTTTGTATTAAATTAAGGGCTCACCTGGGGCCCTCATCCCAAGATGCACCAGTCCAGGGGACGAGAATTCCCAGGGAAATGTCCTTTTGTTGACATATCAGGAACAGGGATAGGAAGAGGAGAACACTTTTAACGGTTTTTACCCATAGCAGCATACCTGGGTAAAACCTGGATTAGTTGGCAGCATACTTGAGTGAAACTAGGATTAGTTTGTTGTGTGATGTGTACCTGGGTGTGACCTGGGTAGGATAGGCCACATTAATTCACCAATTAGCAGGCCATATCCGGCCATTAAATACTCAATTACTCAATTGAGATCAATTAAATATTTTGCAAGAATTAATTCCAAAATTATATCTATAGCACTGGTCGTTAAATGATCGAAATTGCAGAATATTTACTTTAAAAGGTCAAAATTTAGTGGGGGCCACCTCTAGTTGAACGATTCCGAGAGGCACCATTGATTTGGCAAGTTGCATCTTTATAAAATGTAAATATAAAAAAGGCCTTACTATACTTATAGATGCCAAATTTTTGCGGCTGTGGTGCAATTCAAAGAATTGATAGATATTTAAAGAGCATCAGACAAGTTGATAGTAGTTCAGTGATCATTAGGCAGGTAGGTATTTGGTTTCGTACAATCAAGACGGTAGTAGATATAATACCGTATGTACTCTTGGATTGTTCAACCCAAATACTAGGTCTACAACACTACACGTACAATTGTCTGCGTACAAATGATGGCTCCCCGGTACAGCAACACGACATCGATTATGTCTTATCAAATAATCTGTACATGTCTACAGCCCGGGAGTTATCAGTGTAAATACAGTTCTGTAGTCTCAGTCTGTGAGCCAAGTAAGCTGGAAATCTTTACAAAGCTGAGGTGAAAGCTGCGTGAGTCAGGGCTGAGGGGTGGCGACAGAAGTAAACGAGACGGGGAACTGGTCGGCGACACCGGATAGTAAGATAGAACTGGTCCTGATTTAGTCTGCCGCGCACTCAGTTAATGTAAAGACAGCAATAGAATGGGTGTACGAACTATTTTAATCCTCTGACATTTCAACTGAGGACGTTTCGCCCCCCAACTATGCCTTAAACAAAACTTTACACACAAACCTAACCACAACTATGACTCTATTCCCAACCCAATCACAACCTTAAACCCTTGTTTAAAACTCTGAGGGGTGAATGTCTGGAGACAGATTTTAATTAGTTAGTAGACTGAATACAGCAATAGAACAAGACCAAACAAGTAAATACCAAACTGAGTAAACCCTTAAATCTAAAGTTATCCCAATATGTTTTACCAACTGTTGCTTCCACCATGGTTCATACCTCGATATCTACTCATTAGTGCTTTACACCCGGAAGCAATATATGTACATTCAATAACACGAGCAACTTTGCACGGTCAACTTTTTACTACGAGAAGAGGATGGGTATAGAACTAGAAGAGACAAGAGTATTATGGGCATGGAGATGACAAAAGAAGTTCGGGTACAATACCGAGATAAAAACTTACAAGTCAGTCACAAGCGGACGGAACTAGGAGTAAAAGCATACAAGTTGACTTAGAGTAATAGTATTGTAGCTGTTTAAAGCGCATGTAACTGATGAGCTTGGTTGTGGTAAATAACACGGCTAATTAATAATTAGCAAACGGTAATGGTTAGTTAATGACTCAATAATAAGGTATTAAAGATAAAGTATCAAAAACGATGATCTAAAACAGAAACGATACATTAAATCAGGAAGCATCATGTTAGCTAATTTAAACGACCGCAAGATGCTTAAAAATACCTAGGGAGTGCCACACAACTGAGAAAAACGCAACTCAAAGTCCAGCGGAATTCTCTTATAAGGAAGAATGATACATGTTGTTCAGACATCGTTCTGTGAACATGGGCATCTTTATGACACATTGGATTCCTTAATATAAGTTCTGATGACGTTCACTAAAAGAATTCTACAGTAACTAACGTTGACATTAAGATTGAACCCATCTTTTGACTGTATCCTGTAGAAGGAATCATGCAGCATTTCAACACAAAAGAACGGGGAGAAGATTGAGGTACCTAAAAAAGAGAGTACAAAACTCGACAAGATACACGATGACAATTGAGCAATTTAGTTAGTGACCATCAACAGTAGACTAAAATCATGATAAATAGCACTGCTAACCAGCATTACTAGTAGTCGTAACTTGGCAGAAACCAATGTCACTGCACTGCAGAGGCAGTTACAAGAAACCCGGGGGACGCTGGAATCAGTCACAGACCTCGCTGAAACCTCGCTGAAACCTCGCTGAAACCTCGTTACAGTGGACCTCTATGCAAATGAGAGTGCGGAGGAGTGATCTAACCATCACTTGTAGATACTAAAAGAGAAGGAAGTATCTAAGAGGAGAAGGATAGACAAACTAACGTATCAAAGAGGGTTAAGAGCTGCTAGTACTACGTAACACATAATGAAGTACTAGTATACCGGGTCTGCACTGTTTCATTTCCTTATGTATCACCACTGCCAGTACCACTTGGAGACCAATACATTTGACCAGACATAACATTTAGACATAATATTGTAGAGACATGGCCGTGTACGTAGTAAAGACGTGGTTAACAGTCGTTATGAACGGAAATTATGATGAAAATGGAAACAATTTTGAAGTTCCGTGGTAACTTATTTGGTTTCAGGATTTACGATGCGTGATTTCAAACGAAATAACAACAGTGAGATTATACGTAAGATGGACTAGTGATTTTAACCTATCCCAAAATCTTCGAATAAGTCGAATACTATTATGCTTTATTAGTTACAAAGAAATCGTAGAGACCTGATAAACAGACATGATAAACAGACTGTGGAACCACGAACCAGTCAATATCAACAGAAGTTACGAACAAAATGGTGAACGACTAGTGATTACTTTTTTATCGAGCTAACATTATTAGCAGAGTAAATAACCACTGAGAGAATAATATCCTAGTTAAGATATACTGTAGTCTGTACAAGGAATCAAAAGAAAAGGCACAGGGCAAGTTTTCTAAGACGCGGTTGGAAATTTAGATGGAGTAGTAACAATGTTTAAGCGCTGCGTTGCACTTAAAAATTGTTACCAGTTCATCTCAAGTGTCTCTCAGAAAACTAAATTCTGGGACACAATGAAGGCAGCCTTCGATTATTTCAAACAAAGTACCAACAATGACGCATTTCATTCGATAAAAACCTTCCCACTACTTAAAGTTAATAGTATTTAAAGTAGACTGAGGTTTTAAAGAGCAGCACATAATGATACTACCGGAAATTTGGATATTTTTGGATGTAACAGATTGGCTCACTTCATACGTACTGAAGCATGAACATTGAACAAAGAGTACCTTAGTAAAACATATCGGTTTTCTAGAAACACGGACAAAAAAAAAGAGTAGCTACGCTGGGGTACTATAAAGTATAAACCCCCTTGAGTAAGTCTCAAGCTTTTCTCCCAGTTTACATACCGAGACGGTCAATGTTTGACCACAGAGCACACACAGCAAAAAACCTGCTGCAAATATACTAAGCATCTAACACTGTTTTAAATTAACGCATGTAAATAGAAGCGAGTTATAGCACAATTACCAAGCTAAATAGAATTAACAAGATATTTTATGCTATGTAATTTCTAGTGCTATGTAATTCCTCCTGTGTCCAGTGCCACGCTTGGAAATGATTGTACGTGTGTAATTGTTTGTAAATTTTACCAATTCATTAAAAAAGGGCACTTCAGTGTTAGTACATGTTAGAAACGGCAAATAGCGTTGTTATCAATTTGGGTGGAAAATGTTGAAACAATTAGTAACGTACAACGCTGAGCATAACACAAATGACAAACTACCTAACAGAATAGTAACTTTTAATTGTCAATTGTGAGCTATTTGATAAGGATTCAGAGTTAGTTATTAAGTTACAATAGGGATTAGTGTTACATGTAACTACTTAAAACTAGTAGTAAACTAATAAAAAGGCGAATTAAACGAACAGAATCCAACCATCAGTTTCACAAATTGGACGAAAACGGTCATTTGTCAGTGCAAAGCTCCTAGTCCATGAGTCGAGTGCTTTGATGTCTATAATTTGAAACCAATTAATCTGGAGTAACAATGCATATTCTAACCACGTGACTATTTTAAAGCCCAACTATCGACTGAGGACGATATTTATGCGATAAGTGCTGCCCGATTCCCAACTATTAAGACACTGCCTATATTTATTTGTTGCAGTTAGTATTAGAAATAATACTGTAGGTTTATGTTTGTAACTTTATAACCAACGTCTCGGTCTAGTTCAAGTCATCCACTCCCGCCTGGACCCTCGCACTTAATTGAGTTCGGTCAATAAGTTGAGTTAGGGAGTGCAAATAACTTTAGTTAATGACTTTGGTCAAACACCGACCATCGCTCCAGACGGGACAGAATCCGGTCAAAAGCGGTTTAAGAACCACCCTAGAGTCTAGGAACCGCTCTCCAACCGTTCTATCCGATCTAGAACCAGGCACGAACCGCTCTGGATAGCCAGCACTGAATTAACTAACTATCGGACGTATTAGAAACATTTGAAACTATTATAAACACGTCCTGCAACTGTTAACAACACTCCAAACTATTATCAACACTTGCAACTTTAAGCTTCACTTGAAAATATAAGCAACAATTGCAACTATTGACAACATTTGAAACTGTTAGCATAAGGGCCAACTTTATTTGAGAAGACTATAGATACTGATACAGGGTGGATACAAAATCAGGCACCAAATGTAAAGAAACGTAATATACATTATATTATATTATTGTTACATAAGTTTCTAATTCACTAAACGTAATAAATATGACCTATCACACGCAATATAGGTATAAATTGTATAACATCTATATTTTCAGTGCTATAATTTCAACATTTTGTTTCGAAAGCTTGTTCATGAGGGCAAACGAACAATAATTTGTTGTCACGTGACCACAGCTAACCATGTCATAACTGTACTAATAACGCTGAACAAACAATAACATGCTGTACAATATGATACTGACCGCGAGTATATTAAATTTGTATCAAACATAACGACTTAGTCAAAATTACATCCGTGATCATATGAAATGCGTACTCGTTGCCAGCTGTCAA